GGAGTCTCCTTCTCTGGAGATATTCAAAGCCCTCCTGGACGATGTCCTGTGTAACATGCTCTACGAGAGCAGGGGGGTTGGACTGAGTGATCTCCCGAGGTCCCTGCCAACCCTTGCCATTCTGTGAAAAGGTGCTGCCTCTCTGGCGATTAAATAAATGGCTCCTAAAAGGCCTTTAACGTTGATTGAAGTAGGTGCCTCTCCAGTGCCCTCTTTTCTGCGGCCTTTGCTGTGCTTTGCAACGTGCCTGGTGGCTCGGACCCTTTGCACAGCCCCCCCCCGCAGCACACAAACGCACTTACGGTGCGTGCTGGGTGGCACCTGCAGATCAGCGCCACGATCCCGCTCCCTCCTCTGAGCTGACGTCCGTGGCGTAAAGTATTGGCAGAGCTGGGGCAAAGAGGGAAGAGTGTCAAAACCATATGCCTGCTCGTGAGCCGGCAAATCTCGTTAGGGGGGAGGTCTCTCTTTTTTTCCAGCTGAATAATACGTGTGAGGTGTTTGGGGAACAGAGCTTTCTGCAGCCTCGCAGCTTAGTGGGCGCTGTGAAAATCCAGACTCGGCTTTAAACCCTCCCTGTGCCCCAGCTTTGTGGGTGTTTGTAGGGAACCTGGGGGAAGGACGCGGTGCCAGCAGATGGCAGTGCCTGTTAGCAGAGTTTCACTCGTGTCAGAAGAAATAGGGAGTCTGCTCCAAACGTGAAAATGTTTTTATTTACACTGGGTGAAGCACAGTGCCGTTTCTCGCGTGTGAGCAGCTCAAAGTGGGCGAATGGTGGCCGCAGAAATGACCGTGCTGCGAGCCCGCTCCTCTGCTCGGCTGGGAGAGCCTCGTCCACTTGGAGGCTGTCAACGGGGTTCGTGGTTGAGATGCCTTGAGCAAGCGTGGGAGGTGGGAAGGCAGGCTTCTCCTAGAGACGACCATCTCACACCAGCTTTGCAGAACTGCGGAGACTCTGTTCCTCTAGGGCTGCTGGCTGGGCGGCTTTTCCTAGCACAAAATTTCATTCTAAATCTTATTAAAAGAGATTAAATGAAAGAAGCAGCAGAGCTGATGCCTTTATGAAGGTGACACCGTCCTTAGTGCTGGCGAAGCAGCATCCAGGGACTTAACCTGCTCTGAAAGCAAACTTTGTGATTTGGGGGGGGCACTGACTCTCATGCTGTATGAATCACTGTTTAGTGCTTTTGAAGTAAGTTTGAATGCATAGTAAAAAAAACCAAACCAAAGCAGAACTCTTGATGTACTCCCCAAATAGCACTTTCATAAGGGTACTTCATGTATCATAGGCATACTCCTAAAGGGTAAAATAAATATTGCTAAAAAGAGCATTCCTAACAGCAGGCAGAAGATCTAACCTAATTTCGTAGGATTTAATCAAGTTTATTACCATGCCTTTTACTTTCATTGAAAATAGTTTCACTGCTGATTTGCATTTAGTCCTCAATGCTGTTTGCAACCTGGAATGGGGCAGCGCCGTTCTAACGCTGCGGAACAGGAGCCAAGCTGGCTGGTCTGATCTGATTGCCCACGCTGCAGTGAAGAGGGACATGTAAACAAACGACAAGTGGAAAAGCAAAATTGCATCTGCAAAACTAATTTTTAATGGCCTAAGTCCTTGGTCTGGCCCCAGATTCCTCCTGTCCCATCTGGCTAGGTCCGACCTCCACGTCCAGCTCAGGGAACAAGAACACTGGTACAAGCGCTGCGTGTGTAGAGATGGGCTTCCCTGTGCAACGTGACTATTAAAGATATTCAAAGCTGTGGTTATTTCCCTCTCTTTAACGCATCTGTCTTTGAATTTTTCCAGTCTCGCTTCCATAACAAGGTGTGACGTAGCCTAGATTTGAGGTGGCTTAGGAGTCAGATTTTCTGGCCTACAGAAAGTTCCACTAGTTCATTTTTTTCTTGTTCCAAAACAAGCACGCAAATAATAAGTTGCAGAATGTTCACACAGTAAAATAAAAATGTCATTCCAATGCTGACGTATTTCATTAGCAATAGCGTAACTTTAAAAACATTTAAAAAATCAAAAGTCATTCAAAGCAGAAGATGACAAAATAGCTTTTAGATTTCAGCAATGTTGACACATTCCTGCACAGTGCTTTTATAGAATCATGGAATGTTTTGGGTGGGAAGGGACCCCCAGAGGTCACCCAGCCCAACCCCCCTGCAGGAGCAGGGACACTTTGAACCACATCAGGTTGCTCACAGCCCCGGCCAACCTGGCCTGGAATGTTCCCAGGGATGGGGCCTCCACCCCCTCTCTGGGCAACCCCTCCCAGGGTTTCACTACCCTTTGGTAGTGCTTTGGTCTCAGCAAGTTCTCTTTTCCGGACCAGAAAATCTGCGAAAGCCTTTCTGATGGGCTGCGATGCGTGTGCTCCTGGAATAGGGAATTGGGGAGGACAGGGGGGCAGGGCTGGGGGAAGAGGGCAACAAAGCCTGAAGGTAACCTGGAGTCACCAGGCAGATCTCTCTCATGTATGCAGCTGGCCTGACATTTGCTTTTCAGAAGAGGAAATATTTTACTAAGCTTGGGTGACCGTGTGGTATTATCAATGATTAAAAAAAAAAAAAAAAGAAGAAAAAAAGAGAAAGACAAAAAATACAGCGAAGAGCTTTGAGAGTGTTCCCTGGGACTAGGTGCATCACAGGCAAACACCACGGTTCAGGCAGCAAACACCACGATACAGGCAGCAAACACCAATTCAGGCAGCAAACACCATGATACAGGCAGCAAACACCAATTCAGGCAGCAAACACCACGATACAGGCAGCAAACACCATGATACAGGCAGCAAACACCAATTCAGGCAGCAAACACCATGATACAGGCAGCAAACACCAATTCAGGCAGCAAACACCATGATACAGGCAGCAAACACCAATTCAGGCAGCAAACACCATGATACAGGCAGCAAACACCAATTCAGGCAGCAAACACCATGATACAGGCAGCAAACACCAATTCAGGCAGCAAGGCAGGCAAGGGAAGAGCACCAGAGGAATCATGCTCTCCCTCCTTCTCCCCCACTTTTCCCCAGTTCCTTGGTCCAGCCTGGAAGAGAGAGTTCCCACCATGCCGACGGATATGTACACATGTGCTCCCTGCTAAATGTGCAGCTTCTGCTTTCTCCCTCCCATCCTCCTGGGGTTTTTTGGTTGGTTTTTTTTTTTTTTTTAAGGAACTGCTTTCTGTTTGTGTGATGTTCAGCCAAGAACACAGCCCCCATCCCCTCAAAAAGAACCCAGTAATGGGGGAAAGGAAAACCCAGGCACCGCGCTTTGCCTCTTCTCCAGGCACCAAAGGCTCCTCTTCCCCCTCCCCAGCCCTTTCTGAGCAAAGCAGCGGCTGAAACCCCTCCCCGTTCGCTTCCCCTCCCGCCACCTTTCCCTCTGCTGCTCATTCAGAACAGATGATGCTCCCCAGCACACGCAGCCCTCTCCTCTCCCTCCCCTCTGCCCCAGCCCTTTAAAAAGCTTAATACCACCAGGAATTCGGTGGGGTGGGGGAGAGCAGGAGCAAGGAAAGGCAGGCGTTGGACAGGCAAAAGTAGCGCTGCAGCAGCGGAGGGTGAGGGTTTGGAGCACCCCGGGTCAGCTCGGAGAGAGCCAGGGAAAGCAGGGATACCTAGGGACAGGGGCGTGTGCGTTTAAATCTCCAGTGCCATATAAATGTTTTCTAATAACAGGCAGAGGAAAGAGGGAAGGAGACAGCCCAGGGACCAGAAGACGACCCCAGCTCTCTGGTGATGGCATGGATCGGACACTTTTCCGGCAGCTGTTTTGCCTACCTCTCAGTCCTGTCGCCGCCCAGTATCCCCGAAGTGCCAAGGCACAAGACTGATGCAGAGCCGCTCTTAGCAAGTAAGTTACCCGATTTTGCTTGTTTTTTCCACTTCCCTCCTTATCTTCTCTGTTTGCAAAGTATCAGGAGCCCAAAGGCAGGACAAGCGGCTGAACACCAGGTTTCCGTGCCCAAACCTGCCGGGCTGTGAGCTGGAGATGTGCTGTTGTCTAACTCACCAGCTGCTAGGGAGCTCTTTGGGAAGCTGGGGATTAGATGTTGATCTTGGGCAAAAGCACTGTCAGATCTAGTAAAGGTGTTATGCAGGAAAAGGCATTAATAATAATTAACTGCTCTGATACGAGATTAGTGGAGATGACTGGAATACAATGGGTAGGGGGAGACTGATCAGTAAGCAGCCCTGAAACGCATGGAGAGACTCCATAATCCTCACCTAGAGTCAAAGATTAAATTCTTTTATAATTAGGATACTTACTTGTCAGCTTAGGGTTTAAAGAGCCCTTGCAGTGTGGTCTCCAATGTTCAGCCCTTGGAGGGGACAGGCAATTTAATGCACTGGGAATCCCTAGGGGTGTTTATGGCTCTGGGAGGTAAAAGCATGACTAATTTTTTTGCCAATGTCCTGCTGCACCGGTCAAAAAGGCGCCCAGAGTCCTCCTTAGCACATGCTGGTTGGGAGTAACACGCTAACTTTTATACAGTGTGTCTCTCATCTGGTTTTGACCTGAGAGTTTCAGGAACCAATCGAGAATTGGCAGAAACTGTCCCTGTCTCAAAAAACTTACCATCTGACTTTCGGGGATTCTGTAACCAAGCAGATCCTTCCTCCTGCATCCTTTTAAGTAGAGAACTACTCTATTTTGTAGTAGAGTAGCTCAGAGGGAAACAAAACGGGCTTCTCTCGCTAGTTCTCTGACCAACCCAAGCAACCAGTACCTTCTATAGTATATGGGAAGTATGTCTGGCAGTGTTTGTGTTGGGGGAGTTATTTCACTTCTGGGTTCAGTTCTTTCCCCCACTGTTCCTACTCAGTTGGAGATAAAGGACCAGGATCATTTCTGGTTCCCATGAGAGAAAATTCTCCATCTCTGGAAGGTTCCAGCCCAATCATTTACAGACTCTGAAAAAGGCAAACAGAGTTTTGGTGTCATGTTCTGAGACAAATCTCCAGCCTCTTTTATATAAGTCACCCACTTTCTATTCACTTTGAGGTCAGGAGAGCCACTCGGATGTTTGGGGTGAGCACGGGCGCTTAACGGGCGGGTTGGTATTAGGTAGGTCCGTTTGTCTCTCTGCGACTCATCCTCTCGTCTGCACAGGGGGTTCAACAGGCCTGTTGAACGTCTTGGGGCAGAAGGAGCCTGCATTTGGTCAGTTCATCTTTGCATTCTGTGGATGCAAGTTGCTGGAGAAGTGTGAAGTGGTATTAACACCCTTCAATTTTATATTTTTTTTAAGCCAGCTGCAGATTACATCATGATTCTCAGTTGCTGTAGTGGTGAAATACCTAAACAATAGAGGACAGGCATGATGGTGCTCTTGGGGGGGGATTTTTCTCCTAGAATTGAGGTTCTGCTTTCCCCAGCATTCCATGTGTGCTGTGAGCAAACAGGCAGTAGCAGGAGGAACAGGAGCATCTTATCAGGACACAAGTGTCTCTTTTTCTTTGCTCAGTCGTGTTGGTTGAAAGATAACGGTCAAATTTTCAATGACGCCATGAGGTCCCCCTAAAAATAGAGTCTGGGGTAAAAGGACGGAGACAGAGAGGCTGCAGAGAGGCAGAGTCACTTCTGTGGAGGTGGAAGGAGCAAATAAGTTTATTTTCAGGCTTTATTTGTTCGAAAAGAAAATATCATTTGACTGTTCAAAACTAAGAAAAAAACCTAAAAGCATAATATTGTGATTGCATCCTCTGCACAGACTTTTCATGCTCAACTTCTTGAATTCGATGAAAGTTCGGTGGATTTTGTCCTCCCATCCACCCTATGCATATGAACTGTGGTGTATCAGGTAGTAGATACCCCTCATGCGGTGGAAACTCTGTGTTCTCCAGTCCTTGTTCTATAACAAGTTGTTACACGTACACTGGGGTCATCGTGATGTCTCACAAGGCAGTTTCTAGTTTTCATCTTTTTTCTGGAAAAAAAACCTCACCAAAACCCAAGACCCCACCCCCCACCCCCAGTCTCTATTCTCATCACGGTTTAGTTTTCTGCATAGGTCTGAAGTCAGTATGTTTAATGCAACTGCAAACTTGTGTTATGTATGGGATTTTTTTTATACTTTAATCCGTAGTTGAAGGGGAAAAAAAATCTATTTGAAACCTGTAGCGACTTGAGAGAGCAGAAACATTCTTCCTTGGCATTAGAAATAATCTTGCTCTGTTATTCACGCTGATAGATCAGGCTGTGTAGGCTTTTCAGAGTGATCTTTAGACACACCTGAAGAGGACAGGGACTACATTTCACTGCTGCTGGGTTGGTGGAAGGGAAGAAGAGACAGGCACTCATTTAGGATTTTAGAAACTCTAGGTTTAATGTCCTGCCCTGCCACAGACTCCCAAGCTGAGTGTGGAAGAAGCAAATGTCTTCGTGACTCACTTCCCCATCTTGAAATAGGGAAATAGAGCACTTCCATGTTACACGGATCTTAATAAATAAATAAATAAAATTTTCAAGCACGCCATACCTGTGTTGAACGCTGTGAAGAATTTGGATACTCTTGGAATGGGAGGACCACAAGGCTACCAACAATGAAAGGGCTCGGGGATATTAGAACTGTGACGAGCCGGCATTGCTGGGGAGAGGATAGATTGGGAGGTAATTAGCAGGTAAAAGTAAAGTGCAAAAGTCCGTAAGCTCTGACTTTCTCCTCGTCATATTAGCTTCCTACCCAGAGAGATTTTCTTCCAAGGTATTTTCTTTTGAAAGACTGAACACCTCCTGTTTCGGTGTTTCTGAGCCTAATGAAGCCTAAGCAGACAGGCGCCGTCATCGGCCCAGCTCTGTAACAAGCACAAAGTCATCCTCCTTCTTTAGTAGCTGCCTCGTTAATCATCAGTCACCCATTTTTTTTGTACTGGTGGGTGGGTGTCTCCTCTAGCCCCCGAGGAACCCCGTTGCAAAATCATGCCTGTCAGCGTGTTAGAAAAGCAGTGCTGCGACTTAATGAAAGCTCAAAGAGGGAATGAGAGGCACCTTCCTCCTTCAGTGCTGAGTGAGAGTACACTTTGAAAAGCAATTATTTGGATGAGGGAGCTTTTGAACCACATGTTTATTAGTGAAGTGCCACGGGTCTCCCTTCTCGTGCAGTTTCCTTCAATGTTTCGCCCTGGTTTTGCATAGCCTAACTCTTTTGCATCATTCCCTCCACCTGTGGATCTCCAAGCACTTTCCAAAGAGGCAGCCACCACGATCTCTATTTGTAAGTCAGAAAACTGAAAGCTCTTTTGCACAAAATCTACCTGCCTTTCTTTTTCCCGCATGCATATGTATGCCTCGAAAGGTAATCTCCTGTTGGCCTTGTTGACTGTTCGGTCTCATACACAGGCAGTAAATAAAAGGAGAGCAGGAAAGATGCCTTTCCCAGGGAAATCTGTCGGTCAGCGCCTATCTAATAGCCGTTTATCTTCAGATTGTCAAGGGGCATCTTTTCCTAATATTTCTTCTTCCTCCATCTTTCCACCGTACTCAGTGTTCAGCAATCAATGCTTTTATTCTCTCCGGGTGCTGCTACTTTAATTTGCTCTATTCCTCTACCAACTTTCCCATGTTGCTGGTGTCTGGCAATTAAGAATTCCATTCCCTCGCAGCAGTGTAACCCAAAGGAGAGTATGTGCCCCAGAGGAATCTGGGGACAGTAGCATAGGCTCAGCTTTATGTGGTGGGAGCAAAAGAAGGGGCTCAAGTTTTTCAGTAATGATCTGTTTAGTATTTACTGCTATATTGATGGCTTGTTGAGTAGCACAGGGCTCTTTGGGAAAAGAGATGACAGAATCAAGTAGAATCCTGATTTGGGAAGGTGTGTGGGGGGGTACTAAGGAACAGTTGCTCACTTTTTCTTGTAATGCAAGAAAACATGGGCATCAGGTTTAAAACAAACAAAAAGAAGTATTTTTTTTACACAAACTTGATGACATATTAATGTCTTCAAACTCCTCCTGCCTGCCAGTTTAGACCTCTCCAGAAGCAAATCCTACCCCCACTGAAACTTGCATTTACTTTAGCGAGATCAGCGATTATTTAAATTGAAAAAGTCACCATGCTCAGCAGGGGAAAAATATTTCTTGCAGACTTTTCTTGGCTTACCTTCTGTGATGTCTTCAGCAAATTTCTATCTTGAAGACGTGGAGCTATCAGGAGGGCTCATAGACAGCTCTGCAAAACCGAGCCTCCTGAAGACACTCGGCTAACCCCGGCTTGACCCTTCTTCAGCGAATCTAAGAGCCCTAAATGTCACCGCCTGCTCCGAGCCTGTCGTCTGGGCCAAAGCTGAGCAGCAGCAAGCCTAATAAAAAGCCCCTTTGCTAGGTTGGTGATACACTGACTCGCATCTCCCCTCGCAGTAGCCTGTCCAAAAGGAAAGCAGCTTTATACAAAAGTGACACTTTTATTATCCTGGCCTCGTTTAACCAAAGATGGTAAATGCCAATGAAACAGGACAGCGCATGTGACTATAAGAGGCAATTTCATCTCACAGATCGCTTTGCTGGAGGGAGCAGTGATTTACAAACTGAAGTCTAAATCTCTGTGAGATGCTTGCACGTAATTACCATTATCTGGAAAAGATGTGTGTGCTTGATAGCAATGGCAGTATATTCTACGATGAAGGAGTTAACCAAATCCTTACATAGCACAGTGCTCCTTGTCTAGTATCTTGTCTTTTGTGCTGAATTTTCCCAGGGCAGTTAAAATAATAAGGGAATGGTAGCAAATTTCCTAGAAGAATCTTGCCTAGGATCTCACACACCATTCATATCCGTAGCACAAATTTTACAGCTGGGGAATTAAGGCAGAGGGGAAAACAGTGATTTACTCAGAATTAGAATCATTTGGAACAGAAAGCTGGCTTGTCTTCAGACATCCCAACCTGTGCTCAAACTGCTAACCAATATCATTCCTTTTAAAGAGTCCAATACAAAGATTCATCTGCTTAATTATCTCCAGCAACCACAAACTGAGGTTACGCTTATGCTACGATGGGGGAGTTTAAGATTAAATATTAGGAGAAATTGTAACGCCACTGAAGCTGTCAGTAAAGTGTCTGCTTTAATGGCCCACTTGTGAGGTGTTCCTGAAGCTTTCCAGCTAGATTTCACTTGACCTCTTGTTAAAGATCAGTAGCATTAGAAAAGGGATGTTGCCGGTCCCTCGAGTGTTTTTGTTAAAGCAGGTTTCCCTGTACTTTCATTAACGGGCCATCCCTCCAGCCCGCTTCACCAGAGTGATATTTCTAGGGATTTAGGCTTTTTGATTGTTTTTATTCTATTCTGTTCTTTTTAATATGTTTCAAGATCCTTTTGGTCGCTTTGGTATGAAGCTGAAATGTGAAACCTTGCAGTAAAGATTCATGTCTCGAAATGGATTGTTCTCTTACCTGGTGTCAGTGTAAGTGAAATGCAGCTTCAAATATAACTTTAATAACAGGATTATCTTTAAAACAAGTCTTTTTAAAGTGAAAACATGCAACACTTGCCTATTTTTGCATTTCTACAATTGATCAAAAGCTTTTGAGTCCAAATGGAGGAATTTTAGATTAAACAAACAATGCAAGCAAAGATCAAAAGTAATATTCCTAAGAAGAAAGCAAAGAGGTTCTTCTCTGTGCTTAATTCTCTTTAAGTCAG